AAAAATACAAAATTATTTTCTTTCCAGACCAAGTAAAACAATAGGATGATTTATGATAAAATGTGGTACCGTTTTCGAACGGGTGTTGTGGGGTTCTAACACCTTCCCTACACACAAATCGACTTCCGAACTAAAACTCTATTTTCGTAGACCATCTTGTTCGTTTTTTTAAATAGGTGACCAATCACACCTCGTATATGATTGGTGGCGACTCCAAACCTCTATCTCGAAAGAGACCCTTCAGGGGATACCGTCGGCCGCTCCGCGTCGCGATGACGTTGCGACAACAGGTTTCCTTGTTTATTTGGGAGCAGCAATCCACATGTCGATGTACTTGCTGTATAACTCTTTATAACGTTCCTCTGTTTTCGAGATAACGTTTATTTGATTGAAGGCAGATTCAGTTCTCCTTTCCATATCGGATTGGGTTGGAGAGAATGATCCTTCTTCGTAGTGAACGTCAGGGATTGGATGAGTGAAATCTACTGACGCTCGCATAGATTCAGATCTTTTAAAGGATCTGTTAGCAGTGTTCACCGACCTGGTATCTGAAGATATACTTGGGCGGCTACTCATAACTTCTCTAATTCTGGGATATCTTGCCTCAGAATTGAACTGTACTTCGACATTTCCGTCTGGAAATTAGGTAATTGATGCCTCCGTATTAATCCTTCTAACGGGGGCAGATACTCCTTGAAGTCTCCAGATAGTGTTTCTAGAGATTTCATCCCATCAAAGTGTCTTCGGAATAGTCATCGAAGATTTTTCGAGATTGACTTCCATTAGCATGGTGTATCCTTTCGGAGAGACGTCGAGTGCTTTAGGAGAAAGGTTTGTATGCATCAATTTGTAATAGATGCGATATGAAACGGCAAACGGGAGAGAACCGTCTTTCAGCTTGAGTCCTTCGGAGTGAACATCTAGACAAAGCACATCCATAATGTTCTTGTCCTGAAGGGAGACGGTAAGTCCTGGTTTGCAGTTGAAGTAAACCGGTCCTTGAACCAGATTTGATTCGACGATCCCTAGTAGAGAGGGAGTGAAGTTGAGATGCCTTTTATCTCGTAGGGCGAGATAGACTGGAACATCTAGGCCTTCTTTGAAGAGCGGTTTCAAGGCTACTTGGACACATCCAATATGGAGGTATTTGAATTTGTTTCTGACCTTGAAGAGGGTCTCTTCAGGGAGAAGGGTGATTTCAGTGAATTCATCCTTCATAGCAACGTTCTCCTCGGTGATGACGATGACATCTTGCTGGGAGAAATTGAAGGTATTTATTTTGTATACCTAGTTTGGATCTATCTTGGGGATAGACCAATTCTTGAGGCGATCTTCAACCTTGGCCAGATGGGCTTCAGCTGAATTATGCTCAGGATTTTTGAGAAATCATACTCAGATTTCTTTTTGGTGGAGGAAGTGGAAGAAGATGACGCTGTATCCACGATCGGCTGGGAATGGGGAGAGATCTTGGAGAGGAACTTGGAGAGCATAAGAGGGGGGGAAAAGGGAATCTGAAGGTATTTGGGAGATGGAAATAAATTCTTTCTAAGCTCATATTCTTTGATTTTGATAATAATCTATCTCTTAATTAAATCGAATTCTTCGATCAATCGACCTTTATTCAATCGTCTTCAAATTTTCTGACTATGAATTCCCAATCATGAAGGTTAACCACGCCTTTATCATGATTTCCAGAGAATGAATAGCTAGAGATTATTAAGAGATTGAACAAGAGAGATACCCGAATCGGATTTATTTAATAGATAGGTTAAGAATCAAAAGGAGAGAATATAACCTTTGAGCGAACTTAGAACCATCTCTCCTCCACCCCCAGATTCAGAGAGGAGTTTACTCCATGAGAGAGAAAAGAGGAGAAAGAAAGAGTCGAGATTCAGAGAGGAGTTTACTCCATGAGAGAGAAAAGAGGAGAAAGAAAGAGTCGTGTCGGTTCTGATACCATTGAGGGTCGGGACCAAGTGCTATATATAGAAGAATTCTGATAATTGCGATTTGGGTGAATTTGTAATTTGTTTTAGTTGAACAGTATTTTGATATTGCCTTAAAAAATAACTAATAAGAAGTAAATGAATATAATTGCATAATATATTCAAATTAATTTAACACATCAAATTATTACAGACTAATATTATACATTAATTTTAACTCTATATTGTATTAATACATATTAGGTGATCATATTAAATAAATTGCTTTAATCAAATTCGTGGGTTGTTTTTACCTAAACAATAAT